ACGTTGCCGTACAGTATCCACGTCTGGTTGATTATGGACGGGACTTTCGCCGCTGAGTTCGATGCGGTGGCTCGTGATGTTGGGAGACTGCAAGCTCTTGCTATGGAGACTCAACGACGACTTTCTTTCGAGCTTGCGATGATCGTGGTCTCAAAACAGGATGCACTCCGAAGGCTTAGACGGGATCCCGTGCTTTGCCGCAGTTCGCGTCTCCAGCGAGCAGTGGTGCCATGGTCAAAGTACACCACTCTGTACGCGGTGTAATGGCATTTTCGAGGCTTGTCACTTTTGCCGTGATTGCCGTGGAGATCACATGTGCACACCACCGGCTCAAAAGTGAGACCATGATTATGGTGATGGGCTATGCTGCTATGGTTCCCGCTCGGGAAGGGCAGTGCTCTGTTCATTTTTGATTTGTGGAGTTCGAAAAAGGTTTGGCAGCTCGCCTGCAGTGCTGCTGGGAGGGCGGTTCTGCGTTCGAATCAGGTAGACATTTTGATGCTCTGTCTACAGATCATTATCTGCTCGACTCCACGCTGGAGAAAAAAGTTTATGCCTTCCTGCTGTTTGCGTGCTGATCAGTGAAGCCTTGTAACGTTCATGTGGGGTGAGTGCCAATTGAAAAAAAGGAGAAGCAAAATAAATTTCAATAAAGGTTTTATTGGTTGTAACGAATGTCCGAAGTGGGGCCACATATTCTCAGATGCCTCACTTCCAACACGGCCAGTCGCACCCATGCATATAATGGGTATGTATCTTGAAGGAATGTACTTGAGTAATTTGTAATATACTTCCCAAAGCCTGGCGACCTTTAGCCCTGTCAACTCTTCTGTGTGGTTCCACTGGAACATACACGGCCGGGTCTCAGCAATCTGCTAACCACAGTACGTGGGATGACGGCTTGCTTATTAACGGCAATGAGGCCGCGCCATGTGTGGCAAATTTCGATTTTTCGGAAATCGTATGCCGAACACTTCCCAGATTTGTATGATGCTGGATTTCTGGCTTCTGCGCGACGTCCCTTTCCACAAATGCCAACAAAACTTGGACAAGTTTGCCCAAGTTTGTATCACCCGCCTGAAAGGTAGCAAAGACAACAGGTTTTACTGGACAATAATACGCTTCTCGTACAATAGGAGTCATTGCTGACAAAATGCCGGGCAATCATTCGGCTTATCGCAGACTCATCATTTTGCGCAACATTTGCATTTGGCTTCTTTTGAGAAGTTAGCGTTGGAAAAAGATTGACGTGGACGTGTAGTATGCCTCGGTGGCCATGTCAGCGAAAAAAGGCAAAACTGCATATCTTTGACGTTATTAGTTGATAAACTCGACAATTGACTCATATGCATTTTTTCATCTGATGTCGACTGCAATTTTTTGCCAAAGACGGGCCCCGCAACGGTCTCTCGTTGCGGCATGTTTGGAGATTCATGTCTCACCAGATCTTGGGAGCTTGCGAGAGTTTTTGTTCACAAAAAGAGTCTCCTGGGGTATGCACAACTTTGGGATCAGTTGGTCCGAAATTTCAGAGATTTGGCAGAGGTTCCTTCCCGGTCTAAGTGTCCGATACATTAGGCGACCTTCCACGACAAGAAGTCTCCGATTGTGGTGGAGTGGAACCTCCCTTCACAACCTAAAAATCCCCTCCCCCTGTGGACCCCCATTTATGGTTCGGTTCTTCACGTGGACAGGCGTGGACCCGCCAGTATCGCCCCGTGGACCCGCAAGAT